CTTGGTGAAAGTGTTAGCTAACTGCAGTGTGTAGCATACTCTCCTCTCATTGGTCAGTCAATGAAACCCTCGCTGATTGGTTGTACGCTAAGCGACAGCGACAAAAGTTGAACATTTTTCAACTTTCATATGTCGAGTCGCAAGCTCGCGCGTGCACGTCTACGTGTACGAGCGCGAAATTTCACATGCACTTTTTTCGCCGGTCGCTTAGCTGGAGGAGGGCGAGCGATTGTCGCCTCACCGCACAACTACCATAGGAAATGAATGGAGAGCGAGCGACGTCACCTCCCATGTGTCGAGCCCTTTATAGAGAGATGAGAAAGAGTCATAGTTCAAATAATATTGTTTAAATAAACTAAAACCAGGGAGTTTGCTTTCTTAAGGAGTTTCCCTTTTTGATGTCACTTCCTGTTTCACTTTAAATGAGCAAAGTGTGTGACATAATGGGTAAAATTATGTGTATTGTGCCAAGTTTCCTAAATATAAATATATTTTCTTTAACTTTTTGTATTTCATGAACGTGCATATCACAGGGACTTTAAAGGAGAATCAGTTGTTTAGAAAAAGCATTTTTCGGAGCACAGTTCATACGAAAACCTACTCCAAATGTAACTAACTTGGTGTGTAAAGCATTAATTCTCTGACCTTGTCGCACGTTTCTTTGGTTGATTTTCTCTGTGACGGCCTTAAAGAAGAGCTCTGCCTCTTGTTGGTCCGTGAAGTTCAGTCCCACCTGACAGTCCTATGTTAGCAAAATGCACATTTCCAAATAAACACAGCAGCAAATCTATTGGGTGACAACCATGACAGAACTAACTGCAGGGCACTGAGGTGGAGAGGTCACATCAGTAAGTTTCTTACATCTGCAGCAAAGGAATGGAAGTACAACAGAGGTGCGGCGTAAACAATCTGGTCGTAGAGCTCCTGCTCCCAGACCAGTCTGTCTGACTGTGGACAAAAACAACAGAAAATAAAATCAACGCAGCAAGTTTCTCTGCAAATATTTTATTTCGGCGGCTTCTCAAAAGCAGAACTTAGTCACGGTGTCAAGATTCTCCGTCTGAAGCGGTACGTATTTCTAGATTTGTGACAGCAGGCAGCTTTATCTGACCTTTAGATCAAACATGCGAATGAAGTAGGAGCGCTGAGGGTTGTCTTTGACGAAGCAGACCACTCCTGTGTGCTGCAGGTTCCACATGGTTGGACTGTGAGGCACAGCCATGAACAGCTGAGCCACTGCAGTGGCCATGGACTGAAAAATAAAATAAAAATAAAATAAAAAATTACACACAGAGACAGTTTAAGCGTTCACAGCTGATGGGATGTTTCAGAGCATTTTGCAGCAGTTGACATGTAAAYACGCTGTTTTGTGGCGACAGTTTACTTCCTCCTATGCGTTCACTTGTTCCGATGGCAGTTCAAAGCATTGTGGTGCATTTGATTTTCCACTGCAGCCGTTGAAACGCTTCATATGCTCTGTTATTTTGTCGGCACGCCATTTTGACACATGATGCAGAATATTTAACTCAAAAGAAGCCAAACGAGGCAACTTCTGCTCTGCTGCAAGATTAAACCAGCCGTTGTGTCTAATTCAAACAGGGAGGAAGAAAAAAATAGCCTTCATTTCCTGTTACTGCTGCCTCCTTGATGACCCAGTGTCAGCAATCAGTATTTATTTGTATTTACCTTTACTTGATTAAAAAAAATATCTGTGAGAATCATAATTATTTGTCTCATTTCTGGTGGTAAATGTAAAAGTTTTAAGAATGAATCTTGAAGGCTTCAGTTTAACAGGCCTCAACTATTAACAGCTCTAATACAGGATGTGAGGTTTAACCACCCATGTTGAGGGGCTGAAACTGAACATTTGTACAATCAGAATAATTAGTACATCAGTTTTAACCCAGTTTGTAATGCCAGCCTTGAATTAGAAGTCAGAGAGAGAATAATACATTAAACTTGATGCATTTCCTGCCAGCTCTGAACTTACAGCACACCTTCTGCCCAGCAGCTCCTCCAGTCTGTCATTCTCCTGCTGACTCAACAAACAGCTTGGGATGCTCTCCGTTTTACTCTTAGATCCTCGGCTCATAATCCTTTACCAGAACGCGCCGCTTTTATTTTCAAATGAATTCTTATTCGCCTTTAAAATGATAATAAAATAAAAATAAATAAAAAAAACCCGTCGCCCTCGCGACTTTACAGTCAAGGAAGTTTCTCTTCTCTGTTCTGAGCGCAAACCAGCTCAAAGCAGGAAACGGACAAGCACGCTTCTCTAACCCCCACTTTCCTTCTGTCACTCAGACACACAGCAGAAATGAATAATGTTACTTCCATTTTCAGAGAGAGAGAGAGAGAGAGAGAGAGAGAGAGAGAGAGAGAGAGAGAGAGAGCTGCTCTCCTGCTCCAAATGCATCATAATTTAGTATTTAAACACTAACATGCATTGAAAATTAAAAAGTAAAGCCAGACCATAACAACAAAAATAAACTTTAAATAACTATAATAAAAGGATAGTCTGGTCATTTTCTATAGTGTGGCTTAGTCAAAGTTAGCAACAACTACCTTATCAGTGATGACATCAGCGACAGAGCAGAGATGATGAAGAAGAGGGCTGAAGTCTTCATCCTGGCTAGGCTAACGGTTAGCCAAACGAGTGCAAGTTCTTAAAATGGTTTATCAGGCTTATAAAACAACTCTTTCTCAATAATTTCATGTTGATGTGGAAAAAAAAAAAGCTACACAGACTACACTGTAAAAAATGAAATGTTGGATTTACTTAACCATGTTATGTGACCTGGTTCCACTTAACTGAGTTGAGTAAATTCAAAGCAACATACCAGTTTTTTAACCAAAGAACATGAACATGTTGCTTTGAATTTACTCAACTCAGTTAAGTGGAACCAGGTCACATAACATGGTTAAGTAAATCCAACATTTCATTTTTAGAGTGTAGGGTTGGGCAATWTTGGCAAAAAAAATTAATCACGATTAATTGTGGTATTTAGCCGATAGCGATTAATTTGACGATTAATCACCTGGAGTCCCTGGACRCCCTTATTTCGTAGTCACATGTCCAATTAGTGGGAAAGATTTGCTCTTTATAAAAAATAGTTCCAAACTTTGTGAAAATTACAGATTTCAGGCTATACATCAATTGTGTTAATAGATAAATAAATTACAGAACTTTATTTTTAATGTTCGTCATATTTGAAGCAGAAGCGGACTGACCGGAGTAATCCCCAGTCAGTCTGCCTGGTGGCATTAATCGTATTAATCGTCAAGTGCCAAAAAGTAATCGATGGATGTTTTTCTGACGATTAATTGCACACGATACGATTATGCCCAACCCTAACACAGACTACAACTGCACCTGAACACTTTGGCATGACACCATTTGTGCCTGTTTTCTCAACCGAACAACGTCCATGTTACTGCGCGCAGCGAAAGTGTTCTGTGCTGAATGTATCGGTCCGCGCAGAGATGATAAAAACCACACAGCTGAGTCACAAAGTTACCAAAATCTTTATTTTATTTTTTTTAACTTTATCAATAGGTTTTTTTTTTTTTAACATACTGAACAATTGCTGATAAAATAGCTTTTTTTTCAACACTGGATGTTTTAATGTACTGGACTAAACATCTGAATATGATAGAAAAAATGCTTAATGTTCTTTCTGAATGTAACACAATAAATATGCCCTTTGGTTTACAGCTAGACAAATACAAAATCGGTTTTTCTTGTTCAAACCACTTTTCAGTGGGCTGCCACATGATTATCAGTAAACTTCACGAACCATAACAAAATCCTACATATCGCACCGGATTGGTACCTGTAGGCTCAGCCTTGAACAGTCACTTTTCTATCAGTCATGTCAGGTGTCCAAAAAAAAAAAAAAAATCACATTATCTTGAGTTCCATTCCACAAAAACTTGCATTTTGGTCAAGTAAAATTGTAAGGATGCAGATCATTTACTGCTTCTTTATAAATTTTGATGAACTTGAATACATTTAAATAAAAAAATGAGCAACACTTGAGTCTTTTTTCAAGACTGTAACAGAGAGAACAAACGGAAATGTCTTTTATAATATTGTCTGTTGAAATAAAGGAAGTGTAACGGTGGAATGTTGGCAGCAACTGAGGTATTCATTAGAAATGTACACATCCATATTTTGAAATAGGATTTACATTTGCGTCCTGCTGTTTCCAGCAATCTTTGCGCTGCCGACTGATTTATGATGCATACCATCATCCTWACATTGAGCTGGGGCAGGTACAATCAGTCAAAACACATTGTAATCTGTGTTTGTCCCTCCGCTACAGGAGTTTTTTTTCTGCCCTATCACATGGCACAACCTTTTCCTCATTTTGATGCTGCTGATGTTTCTTCACATTTATCCTTAGCCGTGCACAGACGAACTTCGGGCGTGAACTCAGCAGATTGGGCTAATTCGTTTACAGGGGGAGTTTTGGTTGACATTCTGTTTGCAGTAACTCTCTTTGGTCAGCGCCAAACTAGTGCCCCCCTTGTTGAGACTTTCCAGTGGCCCAGCCGATGAAGATAAACGACAGACTCGAGACCATGAAGATGAATCCCAATGCAGCAAAGCATAAAGCCTGCAAGAGTAGAAGGAAAGAACAAAGCTCTATCAGTTAATTATAAAAAGTAATACAAAAAAAATGAATGTATGAACTATCACTGAAAGTTGTACCTGAACTTTGGGTCTTGACTTCAAAGGCTCCTGGTCTTCAGGGATGATTCGGATGTAGAAGATCGCGGGAAGGATAAAAATGAGACTGGGTGCAGATGTGGCTCCTACATACGACAATCAGAAAGCAGTGAGTTTATTTCTTGTTGCAAGTGGTTTAAAGATAATAATGACTCAAGCTGCAGAACCTACCAATGACCCCAAAGATGTCTTTGATAGAAGGAACAAATATAACAAGCAGGTCRACCAGGAAGATGAGAGTGACTGCAATGAGGATGTGTCTGACCCAGTTGAAAGGTTTMTCAGTGAAGAAGGTCTGAAGCACGGCCCTGCGTATCTGTAATAAAAAAAACTGTTTATGAGCTGTGTAAAAAATTGGCAAGCTTTTAATATTGCGCCAAATGTTATATTTCTTACAATGTGAACACCGACATAAACACAGGCAGTGTGTCTCTCACTACTRCTAGATTTATGATTTTCTCTCAAATCACTCTGAAGTGCAAACTAATACACACCCACTGTATCTGCAACTTGACTTTTCTCTTTAAAACTTGAAAAGAAGGGTGTCTTTAACCCGTCATTTTTTTTACATGATACAAACAAACACAAATTTACATTAAGGCCACCAAATGTTCCTGTCGCTCATGGTTCCACATTAATTTTGATACCTTATAGAGTTTACACAGCAACAGTTTATTTAAGGCATCGTCAACTAGTTGTAACATTAGAGATTATTTGATGAATATTTACTTTCCACATGTAATTTTTTCCCACTGTTTTCTCGTGATAACGATATTTCTCAAATTAACAATGAGCATTTTCTAAAGATAAGTTAAATTCTTGATGGTTTCCTCGAGATAACGAGTTTTGGTTTTCCTCTTGTGTTCCATTCAGTAACTATGAAGACAGCTTGGTCACCAATAAAGTTTATTACATCAGCAGTATCACTTAAGTGTAAACACTTGTTGAGCTGCAGTCGGGTCAGCCGTCTCCTTAAATGACGAGGGCTGATATGAAATTTATCTGTACAAGATAAACAAATTGCAATTTCAGCCTGTGTTATGATATAGTAAACTTCATTGGTGACCAGCTGAGGGGACCAGGCCGTCTCCATGGTTATTGAATCATTGTTATTTCGTTATAACGACATAATTAACTCRTTATCATGAGAAAACCATGGAAAATAATTATATATGGAAAATACTGTRGGCCGTTTACCATAGTTTTTAAGAATTACAAAAATATATCGGTTGCGTCTCAGTTCAGGGGCTGYGTCCTTTGTAGTGCACATATGCAGGTATGCGCAGTTGTACGTCTGCAGTGATGCAGGCGCTGTATCGATCTGTCGTGGTGAAGCGAGAGCTGAGCCTGAAGGCGAAGCTCTCGATTTACCAGTCAGTCTACGTTCCTACATGAGTTTTGGGTAGTGACCGAAAGAATGAGATCGCGGATACAAGTGGCTGAAATGAGTWTCCTCTTCAGGGCGTCTGAGTTCTCCCTTAGAGATAGGGTGAGAAGCTCAGTCATCCAGGAGGGACTCAGAGTGGAGCCGCTGCTCCTCCACGTCGAGAGGAGCCAGTTGAGGTGGCTCATCTGGTTAGGATGTCTCCTGGACGCCTCCCTGGTGAGGTGCTCTGGGCACGTCCCACTGGGAGGAGACCTGGAGGAAGACCCAGGACACGCTGGAGGGACTATGTTTCTCAGCTGGCCTGGGAACACCTTGGGATTCCCCCGGATGAGCTGGCCCAAGTGTCTGGAGAGAGAGGGAAGTCTGGGTCTCTCTGCTTAGGCTGCTGCCCCCGAGACCTGACCCCGGATAAGTGGAAGAAAACGGACGGACGGACATTAAATTTTGAGAAGCYATATCTCCCATTAAAGCAYGTGTGATGGATGTTCCAATGTGTTAGAACCATGGTAATGAGGTAGTATGTGGTCACGCAAACATACGTCATCCAAAGGCTAGATCGTCTCATTTAATAGCAATTTTGTAGCCTACCCAAACTTTAAAGGGCGTGGCCTCAATGGGACGCGGTCTACGTGGGCTGCAACCTCTGAATTGAGACACAGCTAAAGCCACACAGACTAGCCATGTTATTTATGCAAAGCATTCTGGGTAAATGATCATATTTAACCTGCTGCTCCGTCAAGCTTAAACATTAATTTTGTGCAATGTCTGACATTCAGCCCTTAAATGGGCTGAACAAAAACTTACTGTTGATCTTAATAGAAAGTTGTATTTTTTCCAGTTCATTTCTGTCAATAAAAATAGGTGTGTGTTGTATTTTGGTGTAAGACATGTGTATTTTTTCTACATAATTGCTTACCGGGAAAAGGACCACAGGTATTGTCAGAGTGACGGCCACCAGCACAGACAGACGCACACAGAGAGTCAGGACATTCTGAGGGTCCACTTTAATATAGGTGTGTAACAGCTCCGGCTCCACGGCAGCTACACAGAAAGACGCAGAGAGCMGTTGATGTGCGTCATTTACATCAAAGGAAAAATGCATATGGTCAAACTGAGTCATTCACATGAMAGCTTCATATATCAGAGCATCTTACTGTAAAATGTGAGGTAACCAAAAATAGCAGTCAGCAGGTACATGACAAACATGGCCAGGATGGAGACGTTGGCAACGGCTTGCATGCGCTTCTTAGTGGCACTGAGACGAAGCAATGTAAAAAAGAAACAAYAAAAATGTTTACAAAGCAGMGCTAAAYAGAGTTGGGTAGTAACTAGTTATGTGTACTTGAGTAACTTTAGAAAATGTGTACTTTTAGGAGTAATTTTACTACACGACATTTTTTGTATTTTGTATTTTTGTAGTAAATTTTATTATGAAGTACTGGTACACAGCAAAAAGTGGAGTGTTAAAAAGTCAGTGTTAACCTTTTCAGAGTTGATTTCATCTCGCCAGGTGTTGTTATAACACTTCCTGAGTTTATTGACATCTGAGCGGAATACTGGAATAGACTGCTTGTATTGGGTTGCTAATATTGCAGATTTTAGATGCTGGCTGATTTAATCTGATATTCATTTTTTGGCTATTAAAAACCGATATTCAATAATGATATCAGATTGGGAAAATCCTACTGAAAGATGTTTATGAGTGTAAAAATGAGTTATTCTGGTTAGCTGTTCATGTGTTACTGGCTGTAAATAGACACCACGAGTGAGAAGTACTTCCTGGTGTGTGAAGTGTGACTCCAATGTTTGGTTCTGCTAAATGATAAACAATGGTAATGAAGAAATTTATAGTTATTAGAGGTTAGTACTGATGTTAAAAGCACAACACTACTGTATATTTTTATGTTTTCCTTTTTATAATGTTGATAATGTTTAGTCTATTATGTTTTGATTGAAATAGGTTCAGTTACACGTCCGAATTATATAACAACACATAATTAACCGTTATGAGAACATTAGATGAGAATTTTGTCTGAATGCCTGTGATTCAGCCGTAGGTCAGTAGGGGGCGAACGTAGGCATTGAAGACCCTGTATAAATTGATGAACTTCCTGGTTTGTCAGTGTGGTTTCCTGTCAGCGTTGGTGACATTAAACCTCACTCAGTTCCAGAATTCTGGTGTTGTATGGTTTTGATTCCTTCCACAAATCATTTTATTTAACAACGGTGTTTTTAATATTGACTTCAGTCTATTGAACACGTATTTTCTTACAGTAAGTCAACACTTAAAGCATTGACTTTAACTCTGATTCAGAATGCAAACACTTCTGCACTGTACAGTGAAAGACCTTGTATGATAGGCTAGTAAATTCAGAATGTACTTTTAATGTATTGTAAAACAAAACAAGAATGAATATTAACACATTAGTGAAAGGAAATAACATGGATTTTTAGTGTTAAAATACATTTTAATATGTCATAAAATAAAACAATGTAGAGTATGTTCAAAATTTAACACAGCAAAAGGAATAACACTTATGAGGCAAAACAAAACTACACCAAGGATGTCAACTATTTAACACTATTAAGGAGTTTTTATTTTTACACTTTATATAATACTTATTACACTTTTCAAAGTGTAATTTTAACTCAGAATCCATGAGAATTATTTAAACTCATAAAAAGTGTCCAATAAAAAACTGAGTTGAATTAACATTCAATTTTTCTGTGTATTCTTGCTTTAGTAAAATTTCGGAAAACTCTACCCTCTGTGAGTAACTTCACTGAATGAAGAACAAGCATGTTTTAACAAGAAATGCACCAGAGAAACACACATACAGTTTATGTTAAAGTGTATATTTGTATAATGTATATACTTTATGTGCTTTATATTTATTAGGGGTGCAATGATCCTGAAAATTCACGATTTGGTTCGATTTGATACTTTAGTCTCACGGTTCGAGACTTTTTCGATAAAAAAAGGACAAATGTCTATACCCTTCTCAACTTGTAATTTATTGAAATTAATTATGAAAGTGTGTTTAACCTCAAAAGGACAGTTTTTAAGTTGAATGTTGCTAAAACAGCAAGTTTCTGCGCTCGACAGTGCAGCTTAGGTGGCGTAGTCGAACGCAGATCCACTGATCCTTCAACACAGAGCATCTTCAGAAGACAAAAATACAGATTCTGAAAAGATGCATGTATAGTTGCACCCCAAATATATATATAATTTGTTATTTTGTAATCATGCTCTCTGTATGTATTAATTTTCTTCATTTTAATCTTTAGAAATATTTACTTATTTATCAGTCTGACATCATTTTATATTAAATAAGATGCTATGATCAGTTACTCAGTGCTCAAGTAGCCTCTTTGCAACATAATTTTTTTTTACTCTTTCTTGAGTAATTTCTTGAATGGTTAGATTTTACTTTTACTTGAGTAAATGTATGTTGAAGTATTGGTACTCTCACTTGAGTACAAATTTTGGGTACTCTGCCCAGCTCTGGTGCTAAAGGCCCCATCACACTATAACGTTTTAGACAACTTATGCCAACTTGTGAAAATATTGAAGACATCTACATTGAAGATTAAACAAAAAAAATCAACTGGAAGCCTGTTTTAGGCCTGTACATCCTGTAATTAAAAAAAAACTGATCAAATTATAACTTTTATTAGTAATTTAGACATAAAACAAATTTCATAATTTGGCACAAGTTGTCTAAAAGTGTTATGGTGTGACAGGGTCTTTAATAGGAGAGAATAAGAGAGGTGGGT